GGGACAATGCTCAGCCATCTGGGGACAATGCTCAGCCATCTGGGGACAATGCCTAGCCTTGCTGACACCAGGGGTGGCTGCAGCTCTCGTCCCTGTCCTAGCAAACTGCCCCAGGTTCGAGGATGGTACAGCCACGGTCCCCGTGTCCTTACCCACCCAGCACCCCTTTACAGAGGTGGCTCTCAGGGTCTGATCTCAATCCTCCCAGGCTCAGGGTGTTACCAGCCATGCTGGGTTTGTGCAAAGTCTTCAGTGGGAGACACCAAGTGACGGAGAAAAGAATTGCTCCAGATTCTAGGACATGGATCTCACCATGCTGCCTGCTCAGGGCTAATGCTCAAAGTAATTAAGCCACAACTGGAGGGAGGCACAAGGCTCAGAACTTCACCTCTTACAGCCCACTCCTGAGCCTGTATGAAGGCTTCATGCCACCCCAAGAGCTCCACATAGTTTGAGACACCAGAGAAGCCATCATCCCTTTTTCTCATGGGCTCCTTGTGGCCAGAAGGGAAAGGTTTGCTTCAGGTTGGCAGTGTGGACCCCTCCCCAGGGCTCTCCCATCCCTACCTGCTGTAGGACAAGCTCCTCTTGAGGCTGCATCATCTTCTGCGTCCTCTCGGGCTCCTTCACGCTGCTGCCCGGCCGTGTGGGCTCCACACGTGCCCTTGCCAGGTCGCTGCTCTCAGCTGTGGTCTCTGGGAGTGTCCCCTCAGCCTCCATGTCCTCCGAGGAAGGGATCTGCCGCAGACGGGGCTTCTCGCTGGATTTCACCATGCGCTGCAGCCAAAGGAGTCACAAGTGAGCACAGAGAGGTGGCAGGGGACAAACCAGGGTGAGGAGGTCACGGGGATGGCAGGGCATCTCGGGGCAGGAACATGATGGATGTGGGAGCCAAGGAAGCTGAGCAGGTACCCTCAGCTGGCTGCTACGAGCCTGGGCAAGGCAGCATCTCGTGTGCCTGGGCAAGGGCTTGGCCCTGGACACCTGGTACACCTGGCAGGCAGGGATGTCACCTTGCACCCTTCCAGCATCTGTCTCCCATTGCCTCCTACACACCCAGGCTGGGTGTCCATGACTTACCTTGCCTAGATGTGTCTGCTGCTTCAGTCTCTCCAGGAACTGGGTGTGATGTTGCTGGTACACCAGTTGCTGCTGGATGGCCTTGGGGTTCTGGGGCAGGGGCTCTGAGCGGGTCCTGCCCAGTGGTTTGTGGTGGCCTGGGAGTGACAAGCGTTCTGCAGAGATGAGTGAGGGGGTGAAGGAGAAGGGGACCGTTCCCAGACCTGGAACTGCAAGGGAAACAAAGGAGAGGTGAGTGGTGGCATCGTCCACGGGGCAGACGTGACACCCTGCAGAGCTGGGCATGGCAAGCAGCAGAGCTGTCTGTATCTGTGCAGGATATCTCCAGACAGCCCTAAAAATGACATGGATCCAGCCCCAGAGCCCAGTATCTGCCTGGCTAGGATGGATGGGCTGTGTCTTTACAGCTCCCCTGCTTCTGTCCCCATCGCTTTGGCATCACACAGCCCACAGGAGCCTGGGGACAGGATCTGGCTGACCTCAATCATTTCAGTCCCTCCTCAGCTAAATCCTCAATGGGAGAAGATTCCTTCACTGCAGGTATCACAGGGCAGGGAGAGATGGAGCCAGGAACCAGCGCAAAGGAGCCAGTTCTCCTTCTGCTACAATTAAAGCAGAGGAGCTGAGGGGAATAAGGCAGCCAGAGGCTGAGCTCAACACAGGGTCTGTAGTGAAATCTGGTGGCACAGGAGCCTAGGAAGAGGCAGGAAAGATCCCTTGGAGGGGGGCTTCTGGGCTGCAGGAAAGGTGAATGGCTTCACACCAGCCCAGCTTGGGTAGGGCAAGGGGCAGCTGGAGGGAAGAGCCAAAGCTATGGCTCTCTCTGCGCTGTCAGGGCTGTGGAGCCTGCAGTGGGGTTCAAGGACACCCTTGCTGGCTCACCAGAACCAGGGTCAACATCCTGTGAGCTGGGGCCGAGGCAATGGAGAAGAATAATTGAAAAATGAAGGCCACTGAGCTTTCCCAGCACCCAAAAAACCTGCCTGCCCTGAGCTTCACACTGAGCCCTGCCAGCGCTGACAGCCTGTCACCGAGCTCGACACTTACCTGCCACCAGCGGAGTGTGGGTGACCGAGGGCTCGAGGATGATGACAGGCTGGAGCCGAGGGGATAAGGGGCTCCCAGCTTCGTGCTGCTCCAAGCCAGCTGGTATGAACATGGGCGAGTGAGTGCCCGCGAGGACAGGTCCGTTCAGCACGGGCACCCGGTGTGCCAGGCTGGAGAGGGGGCGGCGATCGGCCTCTCCCTGCAGGGAGGAAGGGGACTGGGTTAGCAACCCGCTGGGACCCAGCACGGGGAGGGGATGGCACATTCTCACTGTGCCCATGGGCAGTGCCTGCAAATGCTCAGAGCCAGGGCACACCTGGCATTGCCCCAGGAACCCCAGACCCAAAGGAAACAGCTTCCTCTGCCTCGCAAGGACCCTCTGCCCAGTTCTGGGGCTACCTACAACCTGGCTACCTACCCTGGCACTAGTGGTAGCCGGCAATCCCAGTGTGATGGCCGGAAGGGAGGCTGTACTCTGCAGGGCAAACTGGGCCAGTGAGCTCTCCTGCATCATCAGGCGCTGGGCCAGGGGTGTCTGCACCAAACACAATTCATTAGTCTTCTGCTCCAGCAGTGGCAGAGCTCAGTGTGGGACGGGCAGCAGATGAGGGTGGCTGAGCCTCAGCTGCCTGGGGGAACACCTGGGGCCAGTGCAAGGGGTACTGGGGACCCGTGGGGACAGCACACACTCTAGGAGATAAGAAATGCACACTGCAAAGGAGGGGAGCAGTGCTGGGCTGGGCAGAGGATCCCACCGTGCAGGAAGAGCAGGTCTAAGGGCAGTTCCTGGGCAGTGGGGTTCAAGGTTGGGGTCCCTGGGGGTGATGCTACCTTCACCTGAGCCTGGGATGGGAGTGGGAGATCAGGGCACCCAACTCTCTGTCTGTGAGGCCGTGGAGCTCACCTCGTGGGTCATGCCGGAGGCGGTGGGGAGGGCTCCGTGCTCGGCAGGGAGGCTGTCGTTGGGAGAGCTGCAGCCGGACACAGGGGTGCTGCTGCTGCTCGGGGAAGAGTCTGCACAAGGAAGAGAAATGGGGGTGATGGGCACAAGTACCCAGAGAAGGGCTGCACAGCTCCTGCCCCAGCCCTTCACAGCCCTCCCTCCATCTAACAGCTGCTCACCACCCTCCTAGGATTGAATGTCCCTTTGGCCATGTCCATGGTGGAGATGGAGCCACCCTGTCAGCACGGGAGGCACCACACTGCAGCAAGGAAGCCTGGCCAGCCATGTTTGTTCAGGGTCTTGGACCCTTCCAGCCTTGTAGGTCCATCATGAGCCCCAAAAGCAGCAGAGTAAAGCTGCAGCAGCATCCTTCTCTCATTCATCTACCCCTGCAGCACCACAGCAGAGAGCTCCCTCCACGGGCTGTGCCCCAAGGAGGACACTGGTAAGGTGCTAAGCCACAGAGACATGATTTCCCTCTCCGTTCCCAGAAGGATCCTGGGCAGACTGTAGGTGCTCTAGCCTGGCCCAAAGGTCTCTCCAAACCCCCCAAGGTATCACCAGGCAGGTGAAGTCCTCACCGATCGCCTCGGGCGGCCGTCTCTTCAGCGAGGGGGGAGCGCTCTCCTTCCGCGTCAAGGGGTTCTTGCGTCGGTCAAGGCACTTCCTGGGCTTGCAACGCACCTTCAGGTTGGGTTCAGATGCTGTGAGTAGACAAGTCAGTTAGTCCCAGTCCCACTGCTGATGGGAGTGAAGCTGGACTGGTTTTGTGGGACCAGGCCACCCCGCTTCTCAGCTCCAGCCACCCCCTGCGAGCCGGCTGCAAGGACACCACAGTGATGGTGTTATCCCCAAGGCCTTACCTGTCTTCCGCAGTGGAAAATGCTCTGGGGGGTCAAGAGAAGTGCTGGGGACTGGGGGCAGGAAGGTGCTGAGCACAGGAGGAGAAGGGCCCTCAGGATCCAGAGGCTCCAGAGACCTACAGGGAGAAGCCATGTTGTTAAAGACCATTCCCAGCTGGCAGCCACGTGCCACCCACACTACACCCTCCAATGCAAGGGTGGCCCATGTGGCATTGCCTTTCCTGGGCATGTGCTAGCTCTTCTGTCAGTGGCCAGAAAGGCTTGTCCTGTCCACTACCACAAGCACCTACAGAAAGGATCCAGCTGCTCATTTTGTCTTGTCTTGGGTGAAAGGCAAGAAGCCTGACAGTACTTTTTGGGTCAGGAGTAGGACAAGCCATCAAAGTCCAACAAGGTCAGGGAAAACAATGTGGGAGCTTCATCCATCTCCTACCAGCACTTAACCCAGAACAAAGCTACTTCACCCCAACAAATGTTAGCTGAACAGGGTCTCTAAAGATCAGGAAGCAGAAGATAACAGCAAGATCTTGCCCAAAATAAACAGCCACCTTTTCCAGGTCTCGAGCACGTGTCCTGCTCAGGGCAGGCCAGAGGATGCCCTTGTTTTACCTGTATGGCATGGCTGAAGGGTTGGGGTTGCTGGTCCTCTCCAAAGCTGCCTGCTGCTTCTTCAGGATGACCTCAGCCAGCTTCTGCTTCACCACTGTGCTGGCCACAGCACCTGCAGAAAGACCAGCAGTGAGCACACAGGACTGAGAGCAGACACAGAGCACTTCAAAGGATCCCTGCAGACATTATTGTGGTCCCACAGCTCCCCCATGGGTCCACAAGTAATGCCAGGGTGGCTGGAGAACCCCTACAAGAACGCCAACACTGACAAAAACCCTGTGGAGACACTTGGTGCAGTTCTCAGGTCAAGGACAACTCAGGGAAAGGCCAACTGGAATTTTCCAGTCAGGAAATCATCCCTGTCTCACCCTCAACTCTCCCACATCATCTCAGGAGCTCCATCTTTTTGTGTGCTCCTCACTGAGCATTAGATGTGCAGCTGGTGAGAGGCAGAGCATGGCCAGAGGCAAGTCTCAGCTGCAGATCTGCCTGCTTCATCCGAGCCAGGGACAGCAGGTATAAGCTGACACCCACAGAATAAAGAGGCCATGAAAGCACAACGTGGCTCGTACAGCAGCGACAAAACTCCCACGGGTGCATGGGATCCTTCTGAAGCCTCTCCAGAGACACTGTGCCCTGGGGCTCTTTCAGCCTCTGTTACATGCTGATAATTTCCAGTTGATGGCACAAAGCTCTGCCCGTCCTGCACCTCAGCTCCCCACGCAGCCACGCTCTGCCCCCAAACGGGGACAGCTTGCATGAGAAACAGCAAGAAAAAGAAAGCACCTCCAAACAGTTCAGGGGATAGTTTTGTAGCTCCTCAAACTCTTGATGGAGCTGTGGTCTTCCAGAAGAACATGAGACTTACCACAACCCATTGGCAAACAAACGGCAGTGACCCACGTTCAACACCTGGCTCCACCGCGGTGGTGAAACACCAGCACATAGAGGTGTAGGGAGGTGTAGGGTGCTGTAGGGGGCTGGAATCGGCAGCCCCCGGCTGCCCTGAGCCTCCTGTGCAATTCCTCACCTTGGACTAATGTCCATCCCCTGCTCCCACCCATGCCAGGCCATATCCCCATCATCTGTTCCAGCAGGAACGCTCTGTGGTTACAACAGGGATGCTCCGTGCCTCTGGGCCAGCAAGAGGACAAGGGGCAACGGGCACAAGCTGGAACACAGGAGGTTCCACTTGAACAGGAAGGAAAACTTCTTCACTGGGAAGGTGCCAGAGCCCTGGGACAGGCTGCCCAGAGAGGGTGTGGAGTCTCCTTCTCTGGAGAGATTCCAAACCCACCTGGATGCTTTCCTGTGTAACCTGCTTTGGCAGGGGGGTTGGACTAGATGATCCCTGATCTCCAGAGGTCCCTTCCAACCTCCACCAGTCTGTGATTCTGTGGACAGTAGCTCACAGACATCAGGAGGGGCACGGTGCATCTGACACACACTGCAGCTGCATCTTGGGGTGCTGATGCAGGGCTCTGCACATCCCAAAGCTCAGAGTGAGCTCCCTGCGAGCTCCATGCGAGCTCCCTGCAGCGAATGGCACTAGATGGCGCAGGGAGATCGCAGCCGGATGGGGTTTGCAAACATTTCTGCCCAGTATATGGGGACCCACTAACCTCTCCCCACTGCCACGACTGCTCCAGCCTGGGACTGGCATGTTCAAGAGGGAAATTCATGCCCTGCCCAGTGCACCAGGCAGTCAGAAGCACCGTCAGCTCAGGGAGCACCACTGCAGTGGCCACAGGACACAACACAGCACAGAGATCTGTTGAGGCCACCTGGTTGGCATCGCTTGGATAGACACAAAGGACAAACACCAGCCAGGCCAGGGTGTCCCAAGAAAATCTCTTGTCAGCTGCTAAATGGCTGGCACTGGCTGCTCTGGCACTGCTGCTTGCTGCTCAGAAGGACCAGACTTCCCCACAGACACGGAGCTGCTCTCTCAGCCCCAGGCAGACACCGCGCACGGCTCAGTTTGATGCACAGGACGGAGATGCTCAGTGGTGTGTGGACACTCACACACCTTCACACCGAGAGAAAGCAGAGCTGGGGCTGGATAAGGGCAAAACTGCCTGCTGAGCCCCCTTCTAAAAGCTGCTCTGATCTCACCCCCTCTGTGAGGGGAGTCCCCTGGTTTTGGGGATACGGCTCCTCGGGCAGAGACGTGGTGCCTGGTGCCTGCAGAGCCTCTTACTTCGCTTGCTCTTGTCCTTATTGAGGATCTGCCGTAGCTCCTGCTCCTGCTGCCCAGGCTCTGCTTCACGGTGTGGGGACTCCATGGTCACCTGTGAGAGGAGAGGGACATCAGCATAAGGAGACCTCAGCTTCGCCCAAGACAGACCAAAACCCTCTTATCCCCTCCCCAAGCCCAAGGCACGACGACACGGTGATGGAGCACGTCTGAAACAGTCTGTTATATCATTGTTGGATCCTGATGAACAGGCCTGGTTGACATGAACGTTGACATGAACATGACATGGTTGACATGGTTGACATGAACATGTTAAGTTGTTTCATCACAGCAAACTGGACACATCTTTGTCTCCAGAGATGCTCTCCCCAGGGACTTCCTAAAACTCAAACCAGCCTGTTTCAACTTGCTGCCTTTTCCATGGTGTTTTGATCCATCTGTAGCCAGGGCATGTTGTAATACAACAAAAAATAAAAACCATAGTTGACTAAAAAGAGGGAAAAAAACCCAAACCCTCTTATATTAGGCTTAAAAGTTTGGATCTTGGTGTTTTCCAGAGCTGAGATTTTCAGAGATGACCCTATCTCACATGGAGGTCAGAAAGCATCACATCTGCACCGGTGCCTCCAAGGACCCAACAGCTGTGGCAGCAGCAGCATCTCAAACTCTCCTTGTGTGGACCAAGCTGATGCTCAACCTCTCCCAGTGTGATTCACCCCAAGGCTTCCAGACAAGGTTACTGGGACCAGTGAGCCTGTGCCAGCCACCAAGAGCACGGCTGGTGCTCAAAGGAAGAGCATGTGGGATGTGAGAGAAGTGGATGAGGCTGGGCTTGTTTAGTCCAGAGGTGAGGGGGTACAGTTGCATCTTCCACCACCCAAGGGGGTTACAGAGCAGATGGAGCCAGGCTGCTCTGAGGAGCACAGCAAGAGGATGAGCAGTAATGGGACAGGAAGGGAAATCCCACGTGGATTTATGGAACTGATTCCTGCCATGAGCACGGTGCAGCCCTGCGACTGGGGCAGGTGGGAGGTGATCTCTGTGCTCAGAGATGGTCACAGCTCACCTGGACGTGGCCCTCAGCAACCTGCCCTACCTCTGAAGCTGGCCCTGCTCTCAGCCAGGGTCTCCAGAGGAACCACTCAAGCTAAATCTTGCTGTAATTTGGTGACAATGCAGAGTCTGGCAGCAGAGGCTGTGCAGGGCTGGGGTACTATTTTGGGTGACACTAGAGAATTTCAGTGAAGACTTCCCAGAAAAGCAAATTAGCTTGTAAAGTGAGTAAGCTGTGCCTTCAGGGCAGAGAAACAGCAGTGGCCAAGCAGAGTGGCAGATCACAGACACCAGGCATCCTGTCCAGTCGCTCTGGCTCCTCGCTCAGCACACATGGTATGCGGCTGAAAACACTTCCCTGCTTCACGCATCCCAGGAGGCCCCAGCCCTCCCGCTGGCCTTGGCAGGATGGAGATTT